GCCCAAGTGAAAGAATGGACCCAAACTCCAGAAAAAGAGCTGAAGGGAATAGAGATAAGCATCTGTCAGATGCAGATTTCAAAACACTGGTTGTAAGGATGCTCAAGGAACTTAGGACTTCAGCAGCATAAAAAAAGACCCAGTCAAAAATGAAGGATACACTAATAGAAATAAAGAACAATTTACAGGGAAACAAAAGTAGAATGGATAAAGCCAAAAATCAAATCAATGACTTGGAACATAAGGGGAAAAAAATCAGTACAACAAAAAGGATCCAAAAAAAAAAAATGAGGATACTATAAGCAGCCTGTGGGATAACCTCTAGTGGTCCAATATTCACATCATAGGGTTGCCAGAGGGAGAAGAGAAAAAGCAAGAAATTGGATATCTATTTGCAAAAATAATGAAAGAAAACTTTCCTAATTTGGTGAAGGAAATAAACATGCAAGTCCAGGAAACACAGAGTCCTAAACAAGACGGATGCAAAGAGGCAAGACACATCATAATTTAAAATGCCAAAGATTAGCCCTGGCTGATGTGACTCAGTGGGTTGAGTGCTGGCCTGTGAACCGAAAGATTGCCAGTTCAATTCCCAGTCAGGGCACATGCTTGGGTTGTGGGCCAGATCCCCAGTTGGGGGCATGCAAGAGGCAACTGGTCTATGTTTCTCTCCCTCCCTCTCTTCCTCTCTGTCTAGAAATGAATAAATAAAATCTTTTTTTTTTTAATGCCAAAGGTTAAAGATAAAGAGAGAATCTTAAAAGCAGTAAGAGCAAAGCAGATAATTACCTACAGGGAAGTTCCCATAAGGCTGTCAGCTGATTTCTCAAAAGAAACTGCAGACTAGAAGGAAAGGGTAAGAAATATTTCAAAGTCATGAAAAGCAGGGGTCTACAGCCAAGATTATTCTGCCCAGCAAAGCTATCACTTAGATTCAAAGGGCAGATAAAAAGCTTTCCAGATAAGAAAAAAACAAAGGAGTTCGCCATCACCGGATCATTATTATATGAAATGTTAAAGGGACTTAAGAAAAAGAAAATCAGAACTATGCACAATAAAATGGCAATAAATACAGATCTATCAGCAGTTGAATATAAAAAAAAACAAACTAAGCAAACAAGAACCGAGGTGGAATCATAGACACAGAGAGTGTTTTGTTGGTTGCCAGATGGAAGGGGAATGTAGGGGAGTGGGTGAAGAGGTGAGGGGATTAAGAAATACAGTAGGTCATTACAGAATAGCCAAGGGGATGTAAAGTACATTATTGGGAATGGAGCAGCCAAAGAATGCATGTATACTCATGACCCACCGACATGGACAATGGTGGGGGGATTGCCTGAAGGAGTAGGGGATGCTAGGTTAAGGGGGAAGGGGGGAAAAATTGGGATGAGTGTAATAGCATAGTCAATAAAATATAATTAAAAAAAAATACTCCATGGCATGTGTGTCTGTCTGTCTACATGTATATCTGTCACATTTTCTTTATCCATTCATCGACACTTAGGCTATTTCCATGTTTTGGCTATTGTGGTTAATGCTGCTGTGAGCATGAGGTTACAGGTATCTCTTTGAGACCCTAACTTAAATTCTTTTCGATATATACCCAGAAATGGGATTGCTGGATCATATGGTAATTCTCTTAATTTTTTTGAGGAACCATCATACTTGTTTTCAGACTACACCTATTTATGCTTCCACCAATAGTGCATGAGGATTCTCTTCTCTACATTCTCACCAACACTTGTTTTGTCTTTTAATAATAGCCTTCTTAACAGATATGAGGTGATAACTCATTGTGGTTTTGAGTTGCATTTATCTGATGAGTAAGTGATGTTGAACGTTTTGTTTTTTTTTTTTCCATGTACCTGTTAGCCATCTGTATGCCTTCTTTGGAAAAATACCTGTTTTTTTCATTGGATTGTTCCAGTTTTTGCTATTGAGTTGTACAAGTTCTTTATATTTTTTGGATGTCCCCCTATAAGATATGTGATTTGCAAGTATTGCCTCCTAATCAGTGGGTTGCCTTGTCATTTTGGTAGTGGTTTCCTTTGCATTGAGGAAACTTTTTAGTTATATATAGTCCTACTTGTTTATTTTGCTTTTGGTTATCAAATCCAAAAAAATCATCACCAAGGCCAGTGTCAAGGACCTTACTACCTATGTCGTCTTCTGGGACGACGAGTTTCAGAGTTTTCAAGTCTTACATTCAAGGGGAAGAATAACACGAAGATGTCACTCTAGTGCTTGTTGATCAGATCAAATCCAGAGTACTGTATTTAACTTGGGGCATTACATTATTCTCTGAAAAGAATGTTGAAAAGCTGAGTCTTGGATAAGAGCTTCAAAGAAGCAGCATAGAGAACAAGTTTTACTAGATGATTTTTCAGTTTTTAGATTAAATGATTCTGTAGGTAAACACTTTTTCTTCAAGGGAGGAAACTCCTAAGAGAAACCAATCAAGAGAATGAGAGTCGGCCCTGTCTGGCTTAGCACAATGGATTGAGTGCGGGCTGCAAACCAAAGTATCGCAGGTTCGATTCCCAGTCAGGGTACATGCCTGGGTTGCAGGCCATGACCTCCAGCAACCGCACACTGATGTTTCTCTCTTTCTCCCTCCCTTCCCTCTCTAAAAATAAATAAATAAAATCTTTTTTTAAAAAAAGTGTGGAATATGGAAGAAAATTTTAAAAAGAGCATGAGAGTCATTTAGTTTTTGACTGTTTTTTCTTTCTTACCACCTTTGTAAACCTATAAGACTCTTGTTAATATCTTTGAAAGGTAAGAAAGAGGTAATTTAATTGTCCGAAATAATGGATAGAGTTCTGTATCATCTGTAGCAAGTAAAGTTCATTTATTCTTTTTTCGTTCCCTCCCCTCAACCAGTTATGTGTTTGTCTGTTTCTTTTTTGGCATCTTTGTTGTAACTGGTAGGTGCTTAGGAATATATGTTCTGGTGTCGGTTTCTTTAGTATTATCATTACTCTGGAATATTATATTATGTGGGGATTGAGATATGATACTCATCCCATCCCATTTTTTCAACTGGGGAATTTGAATCCCTTTTCTTTCCAACCTTCCATTGTATAGATCTGAATTTCTGTTCCTTTGCTGCTTTTGTTGTAGAGATATTACAGAAAGATTTATTAAACGGGATAAAAGTTAGGAAAGCAGATTGTAAATAATAAAGGATTACCCAGGATAAGGTAATGTTATTTCAAGTTGCAGGTACATGCAACTTTGACCTATAATAGATTTATGCTAAACAATTTCTATTAGGGTTATGTCAATAGCTCAGCAATCATATTTATATCTTATAAGTTATCTAGTACTTTCTTGGTCAGAGGTGTTCTCTCCTTGGCCCTCTAGTTATATTTCTATCTACCTTATTCTTGCTGTATTTCTTTGTGTCAGACTTGTTGGAAAGACTGCCACCATTCACCAAAAATACCTTTATCTTCCTTTGTTGTGACGTCATCAGGCTGCCATGTTTTTGCTTGAACCACTGATTTGGTGTTTTTAATTTCAAAGGAGATAGAACCTCTTCAAACACTAACACATTTTCTGTGAACTAAATACCAGCTCTCCAGCTGAAGCATGGAGCTCCACCACCCACACTGTCATCATTTATCGCCCTTCTAATGGAGACAGGGTCTCCCCATCTAGAAAAAGCTTTAGATTGAGACCAGTTTTTCTCCATTTTTTTTTTTAATCTTTCTTTGCAGAACTTTTGGGTTCTAAGTAAACTTGTGTCGTAAAATGACACTGGCCCTAAAATGTCATGACAACAAGATAATTTTAGATTGTGGTCAAAGCTGTGAAGGAAATAAGTAGTGTGAAGTAAGAGTGATTGGAGGAGAAGGGGTTACTTTGTGTGGACAGTAATTTGAAATGAAAATTTTGTCTGCAAAAAGATTTCAAAATCTTGATCTGTGGGAGGATGTGGAAGTTTAAATGAAGTTGAGAAAGCATAAATTATAAGCTTAATGATTTGCAAGCTTCTATTTTTAACAGTGATTTTTATAGTCTCATTTTAAGGCAAGCCTTATTTCCTAATGGTCACTGTCAAATTTCAGAAGCCTCATTTATTTGTCTTCTCCAACATTAAATGAAGAAAAATAACCTGGACTAAGACATTATATGCATTCAATATAGTTGATTCAAGTGATGTGTTTTAAATACTTACCTTATGCCAGGCACTGTATTTGGCACTAGGGATAAACAGAAATAAACTAGACACAGCTTTTTTCCCTGAATGAACTCAACTAAAGGAGGTTTTAGGGGTAACATAAGTGAGTTACCTTATCATTGTCTTTAAAGTAGATTCAGTGTGGCTGTTGTAGAGGGTGTTGGCTACTCACTAGTTTTAAGGTATTTTAAGAATGTATAAATGCTGCCTTTAACAATGGTTTCTTCTCAATCAAACTTTCATATTCTAGTAGAGTTTTACATTCTCAATAGAAAGTGAACATAGGTGAAAAAATACATGAACCAAGCTGTTACAATAATTTCTATTTAACTGAACAGTGAAACAGCACTTGCAGTCGAGTTAGTTATGGGAAAGCTTCACTCAGGAGTTAGAATGTATGTTCAACCTTAAAAGATAGGTATGAATATGCCGAGAAGAGAATGAAAGCTGATCTGGGGGATGGGCATAGGGGGTGATATTTAAGGTATATTTAAAGGACATTGATCAACAAGCTTGACTGGAGTGAAAGGTTTGTATTGGTAAATAGTAAAAGATAAAGCAAAGTGTTTTAGTAGAAAACAAGATTTTGGATGTACCATACTAGTAATATATATATATATATGTTCCTCTAATCCTAAATTCATTTACAGTCTATTTTAATATTTCTTAATGTAAAAGGGTTATCACATTATACAGTTTGCAGTTGTATCATGACTCTAAATACATCTTTGTTGATACCCCTAAATATGTTCTATAAATTTTGAGGCCAGAATATTTAGCCCTGCTCAGGTTAAAATGATGTTTTGTTTTTCAGTTACTTACACGCCAAGTCAATCATCCACAGAGACCTCAAGAGTAATAGTATCCTTCCTGAAATTTGTCTGCGAAGTTTGAAAACATCCTGACTTTTTCTTCTGCATTTTGTCTTCACATTATGTAAAAAGTTTCATTCTAAGTTCAATGTACTATAAAGAAAATTAATAAATGGGTTTGTGTGAGAGTGTAGTAGAACAAGGTACTACAACCTGCTTTTGGTTTCTGAACGATTGAGCATTACAACAAAAATTATCAGGTCTTTATGGTAGTAAGGCTCTTTTTGATTGCTTACATTCTGTCAGCGCTGTAAAACAGGTAGTTTTGTAACTATCTACTAGTGTCTTTTAGCACTCTGACCTTGCTCACCAGTAGTTAAGATGAACCTGAAGGCTCTAAGTTAAGAATAACATGAGGTGAGAAAAACATAATTTTTCCTCTTTCATAAACTCAGATTAAGATCCTGTCGCCAACTGCCTTCATTCCAGCGAAGAGCCTTTACCACTTCCTCACAGTGCCAGAGGAATATTTGGGCCTATGTTACTAAAATCTTCTGGGGCAAGTTCCAGGGTCTCCCAAAAACTTAGGAAAGCATCTCACCTTTTTCTACTACATTTCAAGCCCCCAAGACCTTAAAAGCAGGTTATACAGGCCAAATAGACCTAATTAATATAAGGTACTATACTTTTTAAAAAGAATATCATATTACAGAATTATAGAAATTAGATCTCCTACCTAATTTTTCATAACGCTTGCTCTGATAGGAAAATGAGATCTATTGTTTTCCTTTACTTACTACACCACAGATATTTTTCTTCATGAAGACCTCACAGTAAAAATAGGTGACTTTGGTCTAGCCACAGTGAAATCTCGATGGAGTGGGTCCCATCAGTTTGAGCAGTTGTCTGGATCCATTTTGTGGATGGTAAGAATTGAGGCTTTTTTCCATTAATTTATTTTTTGGACCCTGAGATGCTGCTGAGTACTAGAAAGTCATTGAAGGTGTCAGCGATAGTATTTTCATAGTTCCCAGTATTTGCAGAAGTCAAGTTGGTCTTATTTTTTTATGTAAATAGAGCTTAACTTTATCTTTATAAACAATATTAGAAACTAGTTTCAGTGTCTTTCAAACAAAAATATGTATTTTTAAATCCTTTAAATTTTATTCAAAATTATCTCTGGAATATTTTGTGTTCCAAATGTTCCTTGTACCCTATTTCAAAAAAGAAAAAGTGTATGCAATTTAAGCAAATGTGACCTGTAGCCATCATTAAGGTTTTGTGAAGAGAACTGCTCCTTTTCAGGGAGAGGCTGCTTCACAGTCCTATTTAAGCCTAAATTGGAAAGTTACTTCCTTTAGACTAGAAAGAACCATATAATTATGGGGCAGCTGGGAGAGGAGGGACAAAAAATGAGAGGTAGGTTTTTAACACTGTCAGCTTTGTGCCTCCCTGCATAGCTCTTTCTTTCTCTCCCTGTTCCTACTTCTACTTTGTAGAAAAGAAGAAAGAGAACGTATGAAAGAAGGGAACCAGAACTTCTGTGCAGTCAGCCTGCAGTAGGCTAGGAACAGGGCAGTCTAGGAATCATTCTCTAAGCCCGTTGTTCTCTAAAGGTCCCTCAGACCCTTTTAGAAGTCTCCAAGGTCATCCGTGTGTGAGACCAGATTGTTCTTCATATTCTTCAACCAGAACAACACATCACAACTGATTGAATGCAGCAGCAAATGTATGACTCGAGCTGACTGCTATTAAACCAGACAAAGAGAATTGTAGTTTTACTCTTGTCACTGAAGTATTTTTGTTTTTGAAAATATAGTTACTGTTTATTAAAATGTATGATTTATGTTAGCATCTACTGGCTGCTATTATTTAAATGAATTAATAAATATGTTAATAATTTCTCAGTTTTAGTATAACTATCCACAAATATAATGTACATAAACTCTTCGAGGGTCCTCAGTAATTTTTAAGGCTGAAAGAGTACTGAGACCAAAAAGTGTGAGAACTCCTAAATACAGGGTATCCCAAAATATTAGTGCAATTTTTTAATAACAGAATCTGCACTTTGGGACACTCTGCTGGAATCAGAAAAGCTGTAAGGGGCTTTCAAAGCCACACTGGCCTAAATTCTTTGCACTCCCTGTAGCAGTCCCTAGGATGGGAATTGAAAAGTAGGAATCTGAAGTAGTCAGGATAAGCCTAGGGTTAGATTCAGCTCTGATTTCTTGTAATAACTGAAGTTAGAGCAAGTTGCAGGATGGTGGTGGGGGGGTTGGGCTTAGAGTTAGGAGGTGTGTGCTGTAATGCTTTGTGTGACTCTTCCCTGTACCTTTCTTAACCTCCTCCAAGTCTTCATCCTTAATGTTGGGTTGGACTAGTGGATTTCTAATGCTGTTTCTATTTGTAAGATTCAGTAGTTAGAGCTAGCAAGAATTTTCCTTTTCCTAACTATTTTAATAAATAATTATAAACAAGAAGCTAATTAGTTGAAATGCAGATCTCAAGCACCTTTAAGGCCCATGACTGTATCCTAAGAAGACAGGGGAGACAACAGATTTTAAGTACTGAAATTGCAAAACCATTAAAATTATAAAGAAATGATACACGTTTTAACGGTGTGTTTATTTTAACCAGTGTGGGGGAGAGAGACACAGTCAAGTCTTCAGGTTTGTCCTTTTTCAAAAGCCTTAGTGGATGAAGTATTTATATTTTAGAGGAGAAAGAAACTTGGCAATAAAAGTTTACAAATTAAATCCCTAAATTTACTGAGGATTAATAATGCATTCTTGTAAATAGATGACATGCTACTTTTCATCAAGCCAGTTACCAAACAACAGCAAGATAAAGCTAAAATTTAAAGACAATTTTTCAGTTGATTAATTACTCTGTCCCTCACAAAAATTGTATTCTGGCTTTGAAAGTTATGTCTGTATCACAACCAGCCTCTCAGTATTCTGGCTTGTTCATTACATCACATTTGTATGTGGTTAATTTTGTAAAACAGTATCAGTAAAATACAAGACAGAAGCAAGCAGATGCAGCCTTCTGCTCCAGCCCTGTTGTTCCCCTCTCATCAGGACCTCCCACACATTTTCCATCAGTTGTTCTCAACCTTGGTTGGGCATTCAAATCATCTGGGGACCCTTAAGAACTAACAGTGCATCCTCAGCTTCTGATGTTATACTATTGGGCTGAAATGTAGTTTGGACCTTGAGAGGTTCAAGGTTGCACAGGCGGTCTGTGTGCAGGTGAAGCAGAGGGCTGTTATTGCCTGTTTTGCAAGAGTCTCACCTGCCTTCCTCTGACCAATAACCAGGCCTCTTGTTATAGGTCTTTCAGCCATTTTTGCAATTAGTCCCGGTTTGGGTATCAAATTAATGTTTTCACAGAGTTTTTATGGAAGGGAAAGAGAGAGGGAGAGAAACATCAATGTGTGGTTGTGTCTTATGTGTCTCCTACTGGGGACCTGATCCATAACCCAGGCATGTGCCCTCGCTGGGAATCAGTCCAGCAACCCTTTGGTTCACAGGCCTGCGCTCTATCCACTAAGCTACACAAGCCAGGGCCACAGAGTTTTTTTATTAATACTCTGCAGTTTCTCTTAATTCCTTCCAAGTGAAATAATACAGAAGATTAAAGGTGGAAAGAACTCTTTAAAGCTAATATTTAAGCAACCATTTATTGCATTTCATATAAGTAGCCAATAAGAAATCTACCTATAGAATACAGTGACTGAAATGCATAAAAATGTAGTAAAGATTATTTGCTCTGTATCTTTGCCCAAGAAGCAGCATCCGAAAAACTCTTTATCCCATCTTCTATATAATCTATCTGCTGTCTGTTCCTTTGTTAATAAAACATCCTGGTGTGTTTATAACACTTTTGGAGAAGGAAAGGGTTTTAGAGTTGAGTGTGTCAGTCTTGAAATTTTACCATTATTATCTAAGGTCCCCTGAGATGAGGAGAATCATTTGTACCAATGGGAAGAAAACTTAAATCCTAAGGCAGTTACCATAGTGGTTGTGCTACTCCCAAACATCTTACAAACACAGGTGTACTATTTCTTTGGTGAATCAGGAATGGGAAGTGGGGGCTGATTCTTGATAGGTAAGTCAAGGGACGAATTCAAATGACAGTGATGATATTTTGTGTAAAAAGAGGGAGGCTGCTAAAATGATAAAAATCTTAGTAATGCAGGTAGCATCTCAGCTTAATACTGCCTCTTCTAGAGTTTACAGAGCATTTTTTTACTCTTTTTTAATCAGGTGTATTTCTTTGACCAATAATAAGAGAATTAATTACATATTAGATGAGTTACTTAATGATAAAAGCATTTTTCTGGGGATTGCAGTACTTTGGTTTTCAGTCTTTATTCAATTGAAGTAAAGATTAAACAACAATATTTTTCTTTTTATGTTCTAACAGGCTCCAGAAGTAATCAGAATGCAAGATAAAAACCCATATAGCTTTCAGTCAGATGTATATGCATTTGGGATTGTTCTGTATGAATTGATGACTGGACAGTTACCTTATTCAAACATCAACAACAGGGACCAGGTAAATATTTACCATCTCTTGGGGTTTATTATAGTACTTATGTAAAGTTCAGGTTCATTGTAGAAATGAACCAGTTAAGTCCTGGATAAGTATTAAGCATAGATCTCTTGGTCTTTGTTACCAGTTTAGGTATCTTTTGTATACTTTTGGTAGTAATAACAGCATATGAGGCCTTCCCTTGAAATGTCATTCTTAATTAAGTGTGGCAGCAGAGTGAGAGTCCCGACCTTCTGGCTGGGAACCAGAGGTACGACAATAACTGTACTTCGTGTTCCTCGACCACAGCACAGTGAGAAGCATGAGCTCTGCTGCTGCCTGAGCGGGGACTCAGCCATGAGCTTCATTCCAAATTATTTTTTAAATTATTAAGGTTTCTTCAGATTTTTTTAATTTTTAAAACCAGGTAAATGGAAGAACTGTGAGATCATGCTTTCATTTTTCTATATGGAGAATTCTAGTAGGAGGATTTTTTTTACTTCATTCTTCCTAAGTACCTGTTCTCTTGTCTCTGACTTTCCCAAGTGTACTAATGTAGCCTTATGCAACTCTTTGTCTTTTCTGTGCGTAGTAGATTTACCTAGGCTTTTAACACTGCCCAAGAAAAAGGAATTGTCTTTACTTAAGTTACTTTGTATACCTCAACATTTTAAAAGTAATGGTGTGGGGGGGGGGGGTGAGAGACAGAACGATTGCAGCAGTTAGTATATTAAAAACAATAGACCCATAAACTGTGATTAAAATTAAATATTTATACTTTATACTGTATCAGAACTACCTGGGTAATTTGCTAAAAAAAAGTGGAGATGCTGGAGCAGTTTCTGATTCAGTGGAATGGGGTCCAAGCACCTGCGCTTTTTAGTTTCCTGGGTGATTCCGATACATACCAAGTCGAGGGTCACCAATCTGAAGAATTTTTCTTTTAAGTGCAAACATTTTATGTGTGTAATCATATCCTCCCAACCTAATGAAATAATAGTTCTATGTATACATGTGTTATCTCATCTAAGTAGTTTGTGTTTTAGTCAAGAACTTAACCCTCAGTCTTTATGGTGATCGCTCTGCATAGCTTTCTCATTAAGAACCTCCACTGTCGCCTTAACTGGTGTAATTCAGTGGATTGAGTGCCAACCTACAAACCAAAGGGCTGCTGGTTTGATTCCCAGACAGGGCACATCCCTGGGTTGTGGGCCAGGTCCCCAGTAGGGGCCGTATGAGAGGCGGCCACACACTGGTGTTAAAAAAAAGAACAACTACTGTCACGTGATAGCAGAGAAGTAATCTAAGTTATCGTGCAGCTGGTAATGTGCTCATTGAATCACCATGTGGCTCTTAAATAGTGGTCTTAATTCTGTGTTTTGAAAAAATTTTTAAATGACTATATTTCTACCCAAGTCAACACGAAACTAATTTTTTTAGTTGCTATTTGGTCTTTCTATTTTATACCTTTAGAATATTGAAAGCCACTCGGGAAGTAGATCCGTTAACACTCAGTGAACCTAAAGCGTTTAAAAAAAATCTATGATGTGGCTTCTGATGATCTGGTATTTTAAGCCTGTATAAAACGTAAATTCAGGGCAGACCAAAATGCTAGCTAAAGAACATCAGTGAAACATTTCACCTACTCTACTGGGTCACTGGGAGGACTGGTCTGCTGATGGCAGTCCGAGGAGCAAGACCGCCATCTCCAGTGTGCAGGCCCCGTGTGTGCTCTGCCTTCTACAGTCCCATTTCCTCGGCCACACAGCATAATTCCCTGTGCCATGTTCCCTTCTACGTACATTATTTTTCTATAGGGATTACAAGGGAATTTTAGTTTAGCTTTAGTTGACATTCATGGAGGCTACAAATAATAAAAATTTATGAACTTAGATGAAATCCATTTGCCAATACATATTGCTTATTTTAATAAACTAATAAGTTTATAATATAGAAATAAGTGTTATTATCTGCAAAATATGGATAAAAGTATCCCAGGACTCTACACTCATCTACCTCTTGGCATTTTAGATACTTTGTCCTCCTTGGGAGTATAGTAAAGGATGTGGCAAGGGCTTACTCTCCATGAGAGAAGTGAGTGAGGGACCAACAGAGGGGAAGAAGGTAAATAAGTGAATGGTCAACTTTACTAGTTGATTCTCACTGATAGTAGAGAGGCTTGCGGAATTTGCCAGTCTAAAACCAAGTTTAGTATTTAATAAAGAAAACTGAGATAAAAGAATGATAGACTCTTGCCATTACCGTTCTGCTTCATTGTCTCTACTCTGCCCTCTTCAGATGGCACTTTCCATGAAACTTCCTCTTCTGAATTGATAACTCTAGTCATCCTCAATGAAATGTAATCCCAGGTGTTGCTTCATTCATCTCCTTGATTTGAGTTTTCTTTCTTCCTCTTATACTTTGGTCTCCATGGCTCTCAGATTGGACTTCTGCTTGAAAATCCACGACTGTTCTTTTTCATGGGAGATGGGAGGCTGCTCCTTTGATATTTAATAGGAACCATTCCCCTGTGCTCTCACCCCTGTAGTCAGAGGTGGAGGTGGCAGTTTTAATGACAGTAAATTCAAGGCAGGACTCTGGTAAAGCAGCGTGGTGTAAGGGCAGACTTTGGATTCACAGCCTGCATAACCTGGTCGCATTAACTGTCTAGATATATATTTTTTTTTTCAATTATAAAAATAAGAAACTGGGCTAAAGAATTCCTTGCAGTAATAAAAATCAAATTCTTTCCTAAAACAGGTCTCTTGAGGGATGACCAGCCCTGTATTACTTTGCAGAGTAGAATGCCTTCTTACTTTAGTTACCCTGTTGCTGAAAATCTGAGAAATTGCTTTGTCATTTTTTTCCTCTTTAAGATTCCAGTTTTTCTCTAATTACTGTATTCTTTGCTCTTACAGTACAGCTTTTCTACTAAATTGAGATTAATAAGGTGCTCATTTAAGTTAGGTATATTAACTGTCTACCTTCATGGCTTTCTTTTCTTAGAGTAGAAATGCTGTGTCATCTTAATATAACGTTCATCTGTTATTTCAAGTATATTCCAGTTATTATTGTTGTATAACAAGCCACCCAAAACGTAGCTGCTGAAACAAATCATAAATCTGCAATTTGGGCTGTTCTCAGTGAGGAAAGTGTATCTCATGTTTCACCGGTATAGTCTGGGATAGGTTCACTGAGTGTTAACGGATCTACTTCCCGAGTGGCTCATTCACAAACCTGACAAGGCGACACTAGCTGTCAGGTGGAAGCCAGGCAGGGCCCTCATTTCTTCTCCACCTGAGTCTTTCCTCATGTGTGGATTTTTTTCACAGGAAAGTTGGGATTTCTCACAGCATGGTGGCCAGGTGCTAAGCACAAGATCTTAAGAAACAGGAAATGAATGTTAAGTGCCAGTGTCTTATCAACACAAATAATTTTAATTAAAATTTCTTTGATGCCTACTCTATGCAAAGCACTGGGATATAGAGGGATACAGAGAGGAAGGGAACGCGCAGGCTGAGCGCTCTCTCAGTGGAGTGGACAGCTCTGTCGGGGCAGTGCAGGGCCGTGGTACTGAGGATGAGCAGGTGTGTACAGGGGGGTGAGTGCTGAGTGTGGACTGAGAATGAAAACAACCAGTCCCCGAGTTTCAAACTGAACTACCGATTGTGTAGTGTGGGAGCCACTTGAATATTCTATCCATGCAAGGCATCCAGGAAAGGCTCTCTTAAGTTTTAATAATTGCAAAGAGTGTAATTTCCTGTGTATCATATTAACATTTCAAAATAAAGCCATTATAGCCTTCTTTTAAATGTACTCCATAAAACCTGAAAGTCATACTGATTGGATACCTACCATTACTTGTTTAAAAAATACAAAAACTCTTCATTAATTTTTTAAAGTCTTACATGGCTCTTTTTTCCTCATTGAACTACTTGTATTCTACCTTTCCCACAAAATTTTTTTCTAATGTGACCTAGTTTTATGCTTTAAAGCCTTTGATTGATCACTTAAGTTACATTTCTGCAACAACAAAAATAAGCACTTAAACTTAGAATAAAAAATTTCCTGTTATTTTTTATCAGCTCTGAATGTTAATTTTTTACATTGTGAATTATGCCATTATTAATAACTATTAACGTGTAACTGATGAAAATAAGTTTTTATTGCATAGAAACATCAAAGGTAAAATTTTATTGGAAGTGTGTATCTTAATGAACAACACGGGGCTTTTCAGTTCATTTATGTATCTGGATAAACACGACTTTTACTAGCATGAACTGAGACTTAGCATCAGTCCTTTTCCTTGTGTTATTTTTAAATAAGCACTGAGAAATAGTGTCCAAGTAAGTAAGAAGATGAGAAAATCAGGGCTTTTGTCATAATTGTATGCAGAGTTCAGTGGTTCCCGAGACCACCTTCAGGTTCAGTAATTCATTAAGTCTCACAGAACTCACTGAAAGTTGTTAATTACTGCATCAAAAGGACACAGATTAAAATCAGCCAAGGAAAGACAAGCATGGGGCAGAATCCACAAGTGTTCCACATGTGGAGGTTCCGGTTGTCCTCTTCCAGTGGGGCTGTGGACAGCAGTAAATGCTCCCAGCAGCAGCGTGTGGCAACACGCACAAAGTACTGCCAACCAGAGACACTCACTCAAGCCCTGGAGTTCAGAGTTGTTATTGGGGCTCAGTCATGGAGATATGCTTGACGACCTCTGCGGCCCACCTTAGTCTTTAGCCCCTCCAGAGGGCAAGCTGATGCCCCTCTATAAATCACATTCATAGCATAGACTGTCTGGCATCTCCCAGGGCCCCCAGGTAAACAAAGACAGAGAGGCCATTCCAAGGGGTTAGGGATTACCTCCTGGGAGCCAAAGGCAAAGGCCAGCCCTCTGTATGGGCAAGATTAATTCTTTACAATACACCATATCATTCTTTATTTGAACATATTTCTTTAACATACCAAAAATTACACAATAACTTGTCATTAATCATTATTTTAATAATCAGCTGACAATTTGATTCATTTTACTGAAAGCAAAGAATTGGAAGCCAGCAGTATTGCAAAGGGAATGTTCCATCCATTGGAGCACAGTTAGATATCATATCTGGAAGTGTCCCTTTGGTACCACAGCAGTTTACACCCTGGTGTGCTGTGTACTATAGTGAATTTCTATATTGGTAAAAGGTAACTTTTGTAAAGTGGGAGAAGGAGGATACCTTCACTTTAGTGGTACTTAGGCAAATCGGCTTATAGTTAAACAAGACTTATTAATTGCACCAAGCAGGAAATAACATAAAAGTAGGATATCAATCTTGACTTTCTTAATCTGCTCTGCCCTGTAACAAGAGCTCTCTCTTACTGGTTCTTTGTACCTTAGCCTCTAATCTGTCCCTATTTGACCTGTTTCATCTGAGAGTAAAAACCCTCTCTCCTCCCTGAGTCCCAAGACTCCTGACATCTGTTTCTGTCCACTATCAAAAGAGCTGAAAATTAAGAAATTACAAATATTGCAAATCTCTGCACCCAGGAAAGACAAGCCTTTTTACTTATTAAACAGAAGATTTTACTTTTCTCTGGAGGTGGTTCTAATGCCCCATTAGAGTTTACTCAACAAAAGAGTTTAAAATGTGGATGTAAAAACAACTGCTAAAAAGGTTAACTTTTTTGGTTCCGCTACATACAATATAAAGTGTGACACCCAGTAAATTATTTAAGCAGGAAAGAGGCATATTCTGATCTACGTTTCACAACAATGACCCTACCAGTGGGAAATGGATGAGTAGAGACTGGAGCATGGAGAGCAATTAGGATACCTTAGCAGCAGCCCATAGGTCATGAAGATTTCAGCTTGCAGCCCAAGAAGTATTGTTTCCCAGTCTGTGTGTAGGCATCATAATATTAGCTCTGTGTTTTTAAACTTTTCATTGATACGTAAAGTATATACAGAAAAGCACACGTCTTAAGTGTACAGCTTTTTGAATTTTCAGTGTTTATGTATTTTTCAACTTATCCACAAGTTTTTTGATTTGCCTTTTTTTTCCCTTCCCAGATAATTTTTATGGTGGGACGAGGATATCTATCTCCAGATCTCAGTAAGGTACGAAGTAACTGTCCGAAAGCCATGAAGAGATTAATGGCGGAGTGCCTAAAAAAGAAGAGAGATGAAAGACCACTCTTTCCCCAAGTAAGAAAAAACATTGTTACCTAAGAGGACAAACTACTATTCCGATGCAGATTTTTAAGCATTTTTGAGAGCACATAGTTTGTATTTCATGGATTTGGATTTTGTATGATTATGTGCAGACTCCAGATAAGTAAACACAAAGACTATTTTATAAAGGTTGAACAGTGGTACACCTAGAAACTTGGGATCCCAACTCAAAATATTCAGAAAGAGTTTGCTTTTGTCTAGCCATTCTCAAAAATTAAGTTTTTAACTTAAGTTTTTTAAATATTTATAAATTTATTTGAACAGCATAAAACAGTTACATGTTAAATAATGTGTTTATGAAAAATAATTATGTTTCCTCCCCCTCCAAAAATAGGGAGAAAAGTAGCTTTGTTTTACCTTTTTGTAACTCTCTGCAGAGAGAAGACAGCTGGATTCTCTGGTTTGAATTCACTATGATGCAATATCTTATATCATGTAGCCTTTGAAAACTCCACTTACACATGTAAAATAATGACAGTAACAAAGGCAAGTAATATCTTAGTGCTGTGATAAAAATAGTTTTGTCACAGACCACATTTAAATGCTGCTTTAATTCTTCCTAATGGTAAACAGATTCCAAACTTCCCTTTAATACGAGGTCTTTTTGAGGGGCCTTTCTCTGATTTTTGGAAATTTCTCATTTCTTACCTGATTATGTTATAAGTAAGGGTAAAGCCCTTAAGTTCACAGTCTTTCAATAAGCCTCACAAACTGGAACTAAGTACCTGAATAAGCTTAGAAAGTTTAGCTGTAGTAGATATTGTAATATCCCACTGGTAGTGTTTTACGATGCTTAGGAAGTTCCTGATAGCACTATATAAATGTGTCTCAGTCATTCAATGCAGTTTTCAAGTGCTGGCTCCCATAGTTACTCAGCTTCCATAATTACTGAGTTGGTCCTTTTCTAAACCTATGCCTTTGAATACCCAGTCCTAGCTGAGTTTTTTAGACAAAAGCCACTGTTACAGGAATGAGTGAATCTTTCATTCCCATCTAAAAAATTAAAGGTAGAATTTATAGTTTTACCAAGTCTCTTAGTGGCTGTCTCAGAGTAGGGAGGGGAGGTTAATTGGTTGGGTGGGTAAACACATGTTTTACAAATTGGAATTCTAAGTTACTGTTCTTTTGAGGAAGAGTTGTTTTCTTAACCCAGAAAATGACTGCTTTAAGACAATCGAAGTAGAAGATCAGCATTGTTGGCCACTGTCAGCAGGACCCCACACCAGGTTCCTTTCACATCCAGGGGCTAGGGTTTCGTGATTGAACTGGTTGATGTATGTTAACAATGCAAATTAGAGACTTAGGCCCACTTTTTAAAGAGGTGTTGATGGGACAAAATGTTCATAATCCTAAATATAAATAACATTTCATTTTTTTCATGGTGTCAGAAAATGAAATGTACACATGAACTTTACAGATTATCAAAAACTTCACCTTCTAAGAATTATTTTTTAATTTTCATTAGAGAATCTCTTTTTACACCTTATGCAAACTTAAATTTCAAATGGCCAAAGGTATACATATAAAAAATAAAACTATAAAAACCTGAAATCATTTTTATAACCTTGAGGTAAGAATGAATTTTCTAAGCAAAAGATAAAATCCAGAAGTTATAAAGGAAATGATTAGCAGGTATGGCTTTATTAAAAGTTCTTAAACTTTTATATAGTAGAAAATAATACTGAAAAGGAAACACAGAAACATAATTATAGCATGTATAACAAAAGTTAAATATTCGTATTGTACAAAGGGCTCCTTCAAATCAGTAACTAAAGATAATCAGTAGAAAATAAGCAAAAGATATGAACTGGTGATTCACAAACGAAATAACATATGATGAACGAACTTTAGGACAAAATGTTAAGAGTTCAGGGGTAATCAGTAAAATGCAGAGTAACATAATAGTGAACTATGTTTGATTTTCTGCCTCAGATTGGCAGTAGCCAGCATGGAGAACAGTGTTGGAAAGTGAGGAAGAAAGAGCCTTTTAAATTTTTAAATTTTTAACAGTGTTGGGGGAATGTTAATTGGATAGGTCTTTTAAAAGAACTTTGCAGACTCCATAAACTTAAAATACATACACCCTTTGCTCTGACAATTCCACTCCTAAAAACCTGTACTGCTGAGCCTGCTTCCGCAAGTATTCAGGTATGTACAAAAATGTTTATTTGCTATAAAAGGAAAAATTAAAGACATAAAGATCAGGATAGCTCTGTAGGTGGCAAGGATATCAGTAAGGGAAAAAGCAATGCAGAAAAAGATGTGTATGATGCCACTTTAAAGTGTGGTGAGTTTGGGGGTGGGCTCTGCTTTCAAATGTGCATGTTTATGCATAGGAAAAGTTCAGAAAATAGACTCTTTAACAGTGGTTATCCTGGAAGGTAGGATTTATACTTCTCTATATTGTTTGAATTTTGATTTATGTTATGCTTGTAATAATTTTAAAATTGTAACATTGCTTATTTCTTTGCCACCTTATGCTGATCATTATACAGATTATAGTTTAATGATAACTCAGAAAAATATACTAGTAATAATAATGCTGCTAAAGTTTTGTTGAGTACTTACTATATGCCAGGCTCTGTGCCAAGCCCTTTATACATATGTCTCATGATTATGTTTGTACAGTACCACACTGTATAATGTAGGAGACCATTCTGCACAGCGTGGGCCCAGCTCCCACTTGGAAAGGCCAGTGGAAAGCAAGGTCCAGTACATAGGACCCATGCCCATGGATAGGTTCTCCCATGGGGAATCAGGCCTGCATTGTACCTAGGCCGCTTTGAGACTTGATTTTGCTAAAACTCCCTCACCCTGAATTGAGGCAGCAAGTGTTTACTGCATATCTTTTTTTTTTAAATATATTTTATTGATTATGCTATTACAGTTGTCCCGTTTCCCCCCTTCACTCCCCTCCACCCTGTAAAACCTCTCCCACCCACATTCCCCCCTTTAGTTCATGTCCATGTGTCATGAGTTCTTTAGCTTCTACATTTCCCATACTATCCTTGCCCTCCTCCTGTCTATTTTCTATCTACCATTTATGCTACTTATTCTCTGTACCTTTTCCTATTCTCTCCCCCTCCCACTCCCCTGTTGCTAACCCTCCATGTGATCTCCATTTCTGTGGATCTGTTCCTGATCTCGTTGTTTGCTTGGTTTCTTTTGGTTTTGTTTTAGGTGTGGTTGTTAATAATTGTGAGTTTGCTGTCATTTTACTATACATGGGTTTTTTTTATCTCCTTTTCTTAGATAAGTCCCTTTAACATTTCATAAAATAAGGGCTTGGTGATGATGAACTCCTTTAACTTGACCTTATCTGAGAGGCACTTGATCTGCCCTTCCATTCTAAATGAAAGCTTTGCTGGACAGAGCAATCTTGGATGTAGGTCCTTGTCTTTCATGACTTGGAATACTTCTTTCCAGCCCCTTCTTGCCTGTAAGGCCTCTTTTGAGAAATCAGCTGACAGTCTGATGGAAACTCCTTTGTAGGTTACTGTCCACTTATCTCTTGCTGCTTCTAGGATTCTCTCCTTCATTTTTACCTTGGCTAATGTAATTACAATGTGCCTTGGTGTGTTCCTTCTTGGGTCCAACTTCTTTGGGACTCTCTGAGCTCCCTGGACTTCCTGGAAGTCTTTCCTTTGCCAGAATGGGGAAATTCTCCTTTATTATTTGTTCAAATAAGTTTTCAGTTTCTGGCTCTTCCTCTTCTCCTTCTGGTACCCCTATGATTCAGATGTTGGAACATTTAAAGATGTCCTGGAGGTTTCTAAGCTTCTCCTCATTTTTATGAATTCTTATTTCTCCATTCTTTCCTGTTTGGTTGTTTCTTTCTTCCTTCTGGTCCACTCTATTGCTTTGAGTCCCAGTTTCCTTCCCATCACTATTGGTTCCCTGTGCATTTTCCTTCATTTCTCTTATCGCATTTGTTCATCTAATTTGTGACCAAAATCAACCAATTCTGTGAGCATCCTGATCACCAGTGTTTTGAACTATGCATCTGATAGGTTGGCTATCTCTCGGTCACTTAAAATGATGGGTTCTGGGGCTTTGATTTTTCTTCTGTTTGAGCCATTTCTCTCTCTCTTTTTTTTTCGGGGGGGGTGAGTCTGGTCTCACCTGTTACAGTAAGGGGCAGAGCCTTAGGTGTTCACGAGGGTGGGGCACCCCAGCTGCTGGGTTGTGACGTATGTGGGGCGGGGTTGAGAGGGAACAGTGGTGCTTGCTCTGTTCTCCGTGGGACCTCAGTCCCCTCTGCTGCTTCCCCCAAGCAAACTGGGCCCCTCTGGTGCCAATTCCCATGTGGGTGGGCTTATACACACCGTGGGGCCCTCCAAGAACCTCCCCTGTGAGGCTGGGTGTCTCTCTGTGTGCCTCAACTCCCACAGGTGATCTCAGTCAGTGTCCCAAGGCTCTATTTCCCAACGCTGTGATCCTGAGTTGTGCACACTGCCTTGCTTTACAGTCACCGTCTCACCGGGTCTGCCGGTTGCCGATTGCCACCCCTGGGCGGGGGTCTGCCAGCTGCCACCTGTGCACTCAGGGTCTACCCACTGTGGTCTTGCATGCCCCGGCTGCCTTGCACACCCTGGATGCCTTACGTGCCCGGTCCCACCGCTCTCTGCTCTCCACACCTCGACCCACGCCTGGCTGCTCATCTCCGCCCCTCCTACCGGTCTGGATGCATGGGTCTAATTCAACTTCTTGGTTGTCCGACTTCCATTCAGATCAATTTTCTGTCATTTCTGGATGTTATTCTGTTTCTAAATTGTTGTTGTCCCTATTTTGGTTGTATGTGGAGGTATGGTGCATCCACCTATGCCTCCATCTTGGCCAGAAGTCCATTTACTGCATATCTTTAACTTCCTAAAATCTATTCTAAACCTTCCACAGACGAGTGTAACCAGTACAACCACTTTTTCCTTTGCATTTGCAAATATCCTTCTTCTGTGATGTGATTAGCAGCATCCTCTCCTTTGTTTTCTGCAAAAGGTAACCACCTAAAGCAAACCTGTGCTTAGTAAGTGAGGACCATCCTCAGTGTAATGTGCCCAGAAAAGCAATAAAAGCTTGTCAAGGCAAGGGTCAGGGTGCTCTCCTCTTGAGAGAGTGTTCGAGGTGCTCCAGGGTGCTCTCCCCCTTGAGAGAGTGGCCACGCTGTCCCTTTTCCTCCACAGGACTCAGTAGTCCATGTGAATTTGTCTTGTCTCATCCAAAATGCCACAGACACTGCTGGCCAGTGTCCGCATCAGCATGCCTTGAAAAGTCATAACCTGTTTCTTTATACCTTAAAAATGCTGAGTTTCTATGTTTTGTGTGTTGCTGTCTTTTCATAGAGTTTTCCTGTCTTCTTCACTTCACCTGTCCCTTCTCACTTCTGTGCTGTTGGCCGCCTGGGTCTTTGGGGTCCTATTCTTAATACTGTGTGTAGGATGCTTCCCATTGTGAAGTTCCTTTCAAGACTGAGTTGCTCCGATGGTTCTTTTATGAAATCACATAGTGCTTTATTTAACATGCTCTCATCTTCCTCAAAAGGACTTGGTATATGAGAAATAGGCATTTAACTGGTTTAAATTTTTTTATTATTTACTGTTCCAAGGCTGGCAAATGATCTAAAATGTAAATAAAAGCTAATTATGGGTTAATTTCCCCATTCAGTTTACAAAGATTAAAGCTATAAGTAGTTTGGTAGTTTTTAAGGAAAAATATCAGTTTCCTATGTATTTTTCCGGGCATTTAGGATGATACTGAAAACAATGCAAGATTTCAGGTGCTTTCCTGTATGATGGGGCTCGTAAAGATTAATACCACCTAGATTTTTATTCTTGTTTCGTTTTCTTTTTTGCTTTTTTTTTTAGATCCTCGCCTCTATTGAGCTGCTGGCCCGCTCATTGCCAAAAATTCACCGCAGTGCATCAGAACCCTCCTTGAATCGGGCTGGCTTCCAGACAGAGGATTTCAGTCTCTATGCTTGTGCTTCTCCGAAAACGCCCATCCAGGCAGGGGGATACGGTGCGTTTCCTGTCCACTGAGCTGAATTAACACAGGGGAGCGTACAGGAGGGTAGGGACAAGGGATAATGAACATGTTTGCTCATACATTAGTTAAATTAAATAGGACTTTTTATGAAGGTGAGTCAAAACGTTTTTAAAGACTATGTAATTTTTTCCAATCTAAAATTCATACTTAGCATTGGATTTTCAGCCTCCAAGGGTTTTTAAATATATAGACATTGCTAAGAAATTGCAATGCCTCTTCCAGATGCTTTACTATTCCCAGTTTGTTTTGTTTCCTTGGTTATTCTAATTATTAAACTTCAATTAAACATTTCCCAGGCACCTTTTGTCATTAGCCCCCGCCTATCCATCAGGGTCTCCGAAGATCAGTGGCACTCCTGTGCATGCGTGTGCAGGGGGAGGGTGACAGCAGGGTGGCCTGTGTCAGGCGAGGCAGACCAGACAGATCACGTTCAGGAAGTCACTAAAATTGGATAGGCTTATTTTTATTCTTAATATTTTTTCTATAACTACTTCTTTTTATTACAATTTGGAAAGTGTGAATGTCCTTTATTCCCTTAAAGCAATAAACTAGACTAAATCTCTTTTTATAAATTGTGGGTGCAGGTAACCAAAGCCATCACAAGGAGTGGCATTTTTGACATGAGTAACATGGTTTAACTTTGGATTTTTAGTGGGTAAATGTTATAAATTGGAGTTCCTGTCAGATATTTCTTTATATATTAAGGATATCTTACATATATAGAAGCCAGATTTCCTTTCAAATGCACTACCTCCTCCTCCCCTAGAAAGCTTCACAGAATCCTGTGAGAACTCTCAGGTTTGTTTGTTTTTCTTGTAGATATCTGGTTGTCAAACACCAGGTAATGGATTTTTTTTAAATTATTATTCCTTTACCTTACCTCTCGTGATGCCTGTTTTAGCAATCACCTGATCCATGTGTCTCATAACATTTCTGTGTTCCTTATGTCCTTTGCCCAGCAATTCTACTTATTATGAATGAATACTACTCTTTTTTTGTGTTCTGTGCTACAAAGTATTTGTTAGCGCTTTCTAATGCTCATACTGTCTTGTGGAGAAAATGACTGTAATATGGCAGTCAATATATTCTTACTAGGAACCATAGTTTTACTAGGAAGCCACATTGGTGTTATCTTATCAAAGAAATTGCATCTCTACTTCAGAGTCAGCCTAGGGACCAAAATCAGCATGTTAAATATATCTTCATTTATTCAGTTTGGATTCGTGCTGATTTTTAAATAATAGCTGACAGTTCAAAGTTATTAAGGCACACAGACAACATCTGCATAAATGCTGTCTTCTTTGAAGCCAATAAAGAAAATTGGAAAGACTTTAAACAACTAATAATGACTTAGTTTTTAAGTACCACAAATTTTTTTAACATTTTTTTTTATTTGACTAGGTTAGATTTCATCCAGGAAAACTACTCAGTGATAAGTATGGCATACCTTTAGCCCGTCATTTGGGTAGCTTAAGATAAGTAACACCATTCATGTTTTTAGAAATTGATTCAGCCCTGGCTGGTGTGATTCAGTGGATTGAGTGCTGGCCTGCTGACTGAAAGGTCACTGGTTAGATTCCCAGTCAGGGCACATGCCTGGGTTGTGGGCCAGGTTCCTGGTTGTGGGCGCACAACAAGCAACCAGTTGATATTTTTTTTTTCTTTTGTTGTTGTTTTGGATGTTGTCGCTTTTGTTTTTTAATGTTCTATTGTTTATGTTATTGCAGTTGTCCCAATTTTCCCCCCTTCTCCCCCTTCCACCAAACCCACCCCCCACTTCCATAGTTTGTCCCCACTCCCCACACCGCTGTCTGTGTCCATGGATCCTTCATGACTAATCCCTTCACCTTCTTTCAATCAGTGCCCACTTCCCTCCTCCCCTTTTATAGCTGTCAGTCTATTCTATGATTCTATGACTCTGGTTCTATTTTGCTCTGTAAGTAAGATCATGTGGTTATTTGTCTTTCACCGACTGGCTTATTTCACTTAGCATAATAGTCTCCAGTTCCATCCACACTTTCACAAGAGGTAGAAATTCCTTCTTTTTTTCTGTTTCATAGTATTCAGTGTGTAAATGTACCACAGTTTTTTAATCCACTCATTTATTGATGGGCACTTAGGCTGTTTCCAAATCTTGGCTATTGTAAGTAAATAGTGCTTCTGTGAACACAGAGGTACATAAATTCTTTTGAATTGGTGTTGTAGGATTCTTGGGGTATATTCCCAGCAGTGGAATCATTTGGTCATAAGGCAGTTCCATTTTTAATTTTTTGAGGAAATTCCATACTGTTTTCTGCAGTGGCTACACCAGTCTGCATTCCCACCAATAGTGCACAGGGGTTCCCTTTTCTCCCCATCCTTGCCAGCACTTGTTTGTTGATTTATTAATGATAACCATTTTGGCAGGTGTGTGGTGATATCTCATTGTGCTTTTGATTTGCATCTCTCTGATGGCTAGTCATGCTGAGAATTTCTTCATATGTCTGTGGGTCATCTGTATGTTCTCCATGGAGAAGTGTCTGTTCAGGTCCTTTGCCCATTTTTTAATTGGATTGTTGGTTTTCCTGGTGTTGAGTTATATGAGTTCTTTATATATTTTGGATCTTAAACCCTTGTCCAGTGTATCATTGGCAAGTATGTTTTCCCATACAGTTGGTTCCCTTTTCATTTTGATGATGTTTTCTTTAGGCAGAATCTTTTTAATTTGATGTAGTTATATTCATTTATTTTTTTTCTTTTATTCCCCTCGCCTTTGGAGATATGTCAGAGAAAATGTTTCTACATGAGATATATGAAATTTTACTGCCAATGTTTTCTGCTAGATTTTTGTTGTATCACAACTTATATTTAAGCCTTTTATCCCATTGGAGTTTATTCTTCTGTATGGGGTAAGTTGGTGTTCTAGCTTCATTTTTTTGCACATACCAGTCCTTCCAGTTCTGCCAACACTATTTATGGAGCAGACTGTTTCTGCTCCATAGTATGTTCATGCTCCCTTTGTCAAAAATTAATTGACCACAGAGACATGGATTTATTTCTGGGCACTCTGTTCTGTTCCATTGGTCTATATGTTTGTTCTTATGCTAGTACCAGACTATTTTGATTACAGTGGTGGTGTTAGTATAGTTCAGTATTAGGTATTGTGATCCCTCCAACTTAGTTCTTCTTTCTCAAGATTGCTGAGGCTCTTCGGTGTCTTTTTTGGTTCCATATACATTTTTGGAATGTTTGTTCTAGATCTGTGAAATATGCCATTGGTATTTTAATGATTAAAAATTATAGATTGCATTGAACCTATAGACTGCTTTGGGTGGTATGGACATTTTAATGATGTTAATTCCTCCAATCCATGAACACAGTATATGCTTCCATTTATTTGTGTCTTCCTCAATTTCTTTCTTCATTGTTCTGTAGTTTTCCGAGTACAGGTCTTTCACCTCCTTGGTTAAATTTATTCATAGGTACTTTGTTGTTTTGTTGTTGTTGCTGCTGCTACATTAAATGGGATTTTTTCTTAGTTTGTCTTCCAGATAGGTCATGTTGGTATAGAAAGATGTCATCAATTTCTGAATATTGACTTTGTATCCCACTATGTTGCCAAATTCACTTACATTAGTAGGTACCAAGTAGTTTTTTCATGGAGACTTTGGGTTTTCTGTGTGCACTCTCATGTTGTCTGCAAAGAATGACAGTTTTACTTCCTCCTTTCCAATTTGGATGCTTTTTATTCTTGTCTGATTGCTGCGACTAGGACTTGCGGTACTATGTTGGTAAGAGTAGTGAAAGTGGACACCCCTTGGCTTGTTCCTGATCTCAAGGGAAATGCTTTTAGTTTTTGCCCATTGAGATCCATCTTTCTCTGCCAAATTGATGTTTCTCTCCCTCTCTTTTTCCCTCCCTTTCCCTCTAAGAATAAAATAAAATCTTTAAAACAAAAAATAAATAGTAACTACTTAACACCCCACCGTAAATGGCCTTTCTCTCAAGTTGGCCACTCTCAATTTGACGTAATGATCTGCCCCTTTTTTTAAATACAGTGTTATGAAAAGGGTACCTCATATCTAAAACATTTTGTCAGTTTATAGGCTTATTTACTTGAGACATTTATTGAGCATTTCTATAGCACTTTTTATTTTACTAAGTATTTATTTAATCTCTCCTGTGATACTTTCTCTAAAGAACTCAAGAAATCTGCCCTGGCTGGTGTAGCTCAGTGGATTGAGCGCAGTCTGCAAACCAAAGTGTTGCAGGTTCGATTCCCAGTCAGGGTACATGCCTGAGTTTCAGGCCATGACTCCCAGCAACCGCACATTGATGTTTCTCTCTCTCTCTCTATCTCCCTCCCTTCCCTCTCTAAAAATAAAATAAATAAATAAAAATCTTAAGAACTCAAGAAATCCAGTGTGTCTGTGCCAGAATGTTCCTCATCCTTTTGAAACTGCCTGAAAGGTCACCACAAAGAAAGAATGGGGCTTATTCTGGTTATAAATGACTGCCCCTGTCTATCTAAAGTATGATTGATTTATCAGTGGGGGGCATACACAAGAGGCAACCACACATTGACGTTTCCTCTTTTCTCCCTCCCTTCCCCTCTAAAAATAAAATCTTTAAAAATAAATAAAGTATGGTTGGTTTTTATACAGTATAATATTATATTAGATTTTAGCACATTTTATCTTTAAGGGGAAATTTTATCAAATTATATGTATAACAGCCATGGAAAAATACATTCAATTCTGGAATAAAGAGTAGTTATTTAGTAATATCTTAAAGCTAGCTTTAAAAAAATCCCTTAGTTTTCAAATGAATAAATCATATTTGAGTTATCTAAAATCACAAGGTCTTCCCAAGTATACTATGTCCTATTCCTAAATAAAGTCAAATGGAAAATAGGGCTTAGGTTCTTCTCAACTAGAAGGGAGATAAAAAGAAATTTCATTTTGATTTTGGCCTCTGATTTTTCAGTTAATAAT